CATAGGAATGAACAATAGTTCATAAGAATAGAAAAACAGTTGCATTCATAATTACAATGACTACTTCAAGACCTGCCCTGAACTGCAATGCTGTGAATGATATAATACTATTCATGAGTGTACAATAAATACTTGCTTAATAAAACTATTATTAAAATATATACACTAATGGCTATAGGCGAACATGAAATTAAGGAATAGGCCATGGTCTTCACAATTACTTGCTATGCATCAGAGAGCTGGACAATAACCAAGGATGATAGGGGGGAAATGATGCCTTTGAGTTGTGGTGCTGGAGAGGAGTATTAAATATACTGCTAGAAGAACAAAAAAATCTGTCCTGTAGAGAGTGAAACCAGGCTGCTCCTTGGAGGCAAGGATTTTGAACCTTTGTCTGACATGCTTTGGGCATATTGTAAGGAGAGATCAGTCCTTGGAGAAGGACATCACGCTTGGAGACATGCTTTGAAGGGACATCATAAGAGAGGAAGATCCTGGATGAGAGAGACTGACTCAGTGACTGGAGTAATGGAGGTAGATGTGTCAGAGATAACGAGGTTAGTTCAAGATAGAGCAGAGTTAAGAGCTATTTCACATAGGGTTGCTATGATTCACAAGCGACTTGATGGCGCATAATACAAACAATGCACCTAAATTTTGTAGTTTGAAATTGACTGAACATGAAGTCAAGATACACCTAAAATAATCGAAGACTAGAATTAGAAATTTTAGAAATAAGGAGGAAAGGATGGTTGTAAGAAATTATGGAGTTAGTGAGGAAGACTCAGGAACCTGTGTTATGCAGGTAACACAACCTTGCTTGCTGAAAGCAGGAGGGACTTGAGGTGTTTGCTGCAGAGGATCAAGGACTGCAGACTTCAATACAGATGAGATTCCAACATCAAGAAAACAAAATCCTCACCAGTGGGCCAACAGGTAACTTCATGATAGATGGAGAAAAGATTGAAATTGTCAGTGATTTAATCTTGCTTGATCCACAATCAGCATTCATGGTACCAGCAGTCAGGAGATCAGGAAATGGATAGTTTTGGGAAAGTCGGCTGTCAAATATCTTACCAAAGTAATGAAAAGCGGTTTTGTCAGTTTAAAGGCTTATTCAAACCACAGTGTTCCAATCACCTTCTTTGCATCTGAGAGCTAAACAATACATAAGGAAGACAGGAGAAAAAAATTGATGCATTTCAATTGTGGTATTGGAGAAGAGTGCTGAATATTCAACGAGCCTCCAAAAGAACAGGTACATATTGGACAAAATCCAACCAGAGTGCTCCTTGGAGGCAAAGGTGGCGAAGCTTTGTCTCGCAAATTTTGGATATGTTGTTAGGAGAGGTTATTCCTTTGACAAGGACATCATGCTTGAAAAAGTGAAGGATCAGTGAAGGAGTGGAAGACCCCTGCATTGATACAGTGGTTGCATCAGTGGACTCAAATGTATTGGGAATGATAAGGATGGCACAGAATAGTACAGCACTCAGAACTGTTATTCGTAGGGTCACTATGAGTAATACTCAATTCCAAGACTCTTAACAAAAACAATAGCAATTCAGTATGTATGCTGAACAAATAATCTAGGTAGCTGGATTTTTATGAAGAATAATGGAGCATCAGAATCAGAGGACTTATTTAACATCTGCATTCTGTACATGATAAAACCTTGCTTGCCAGAAGCAAGAGAACTTGAAGTGATGATATAGAAGATCAAAGACAAGAGCCGGATTACATCATCAGATAAAGAAGATATAACTTCTCACCATTATTCCAATAGACAATATCATAGTAGATGGAAAAATATTAAAAATGTTGACAACTTCTTAATTAGATCTATAATCAGTATCTGTGGCAGTAACAGTCAAGAAATCAAGGCATATTGTATTAGCTCTGTTAGACTTAGTGAGACTGGCTCAAGACAGGGAAGAGTTCAGAGCTGCTGTACATAGGGTTGCTATACATCGCAGGCAACTCAATAGCACATAAAAACAATAACATACTATGACAGGTTTGGAAGCAGGAGTGGCATTGACTTCCTAAACAACATGCTTCCTGAAACTCTGTAAACTTTGATAAAAGTCAATAGGTGTAGAGGGGCTTCAAGCGTTTTGTTCATAGGATCACTATGAGTCATGTTCAACTCAAAGGCAATCAACAACAACTACATAAAATTGAAGGATCTTTTCAGAGTACTGATAGCAATGATGTTAGTTTAATGATTAAAGTCACTCCTGATTCAACTACTTGGTATGCATCTGACAAACAAACAGTGAATGAGGTTGACAGAAGAATAGATGCTTTTCAATTGTGTTGTTGGAGAAGTTGTTGTTGCTATTATGTGCCATTGAGTCACCTGTGACTCAAAGCGACCCTATGTACAATATCTCTGAACTCTGCCCTGTCCTGAGCCAGTCTCACTAATTCCTACGTACCTACTCCTATTGTCCCAGTTACTGTATCAATCCATCTCATCAAGGGTCTTCCTCCCCTATGTTGTCCCTCCACCCTTCTCAGAATGATGTCCTTCTCCAGGGATTGGTTCCTGCTGGTCATGTGCCCAAAGTATGTGAGATTGAGCTTTAAAATCCTAGCCTCCAAGGATAAACTTGGTTTCATACTCTCCAAAACAGACCTGTTTTCTTGGCAGTCCATGGTATGTTGAAGACTTTGCTCCAACATCACAATTCAAAGGCATCAATTCGTCTATCATCTTTAGTCATTATTAAGCTCTCTGATACATAGCAAGCAATTGCAAAAACCATGGACTGGATCAGTCTAGACTGTCATTGTTGCTTCTCAGTACTCTAGAAATGTCCCTGACAACAGATTTACCTAATGCAATTTGGCTTTTGATTTCGTGACAGCTGATCCCAAGTGTTTTGATTTCGTGACTGCTGATCCCAAGTGTTTTGATTGTGGAGTCGAGCAGCTAGAACTATTAACAACCTCAATCTCTTCTCCATTCAACAATGTGCTGCCAACTGCCCAGTGGTAAGAATTTTTGTCTTCTTGATGGTGGGTTTTAATCCATATTGAAGACTAGAGTCCTTGTCCCTCTGCAACAAGTGTTTCAGGTACTCCTCAGTTTCAGAAAGCAAGGTTGTTTCATCTGCATAACATAGATTGTTGATGACTGTTCCTCCAATCCTGATGCTACATTCCTCCTCATCAAGCACAGTCTTCCAAGAATGATATGAGGATTGATATGATACATCCATTATATACTCTTCCTGATTTTGAACCATCTAGTGTTTTCCTGCTCCATTCTGAGAACTGCTTCCTGGTCCAATTGGAGGTTCACAAGCACAATCAAGTGTACTGGGATTTCTATTCTCCTAAAAATTAATGACAATTAGTTGTGATCCACACAGTCAAATGCCTTTGCATAGTCAATGAAACACAGATATTCCTCTGGTACTCTTTGCTTTCTGCCAAGATCCCTCAGTCATTGGTGATAATGTCTCTATAGCCATGACGTGTTCTCTGTCAATGTACTAAATATTCCAAGGTATGTCTTGGAGAAAGTGCAACCAGATATAAGAATAATAAAGCTTCATCTCACATATTTTGGGAATGTTCTTACTAGGGACTCTTCCTCATGATTGAGAAGGTGGAAGATCAGTGAAGGAAAGGAAGACCCTTAATGAGGTAGATTAACAGACTTCAGTAGAGGGCTCAAATATGTCAGATGATGAGGTTTACAGAGGATAGAACAGGGTTCAAATCCATTATCAAGTCTATTATGACTCATGGAGAACTTCCAATGAGTTTCTGATGCTGTGAAACTTAAAAGAGAATTTTCCTATCTTCAGCTTGTTGATGGATTCAATCTGTCAGTCTTTGTCTTTCTTAGTGCAACAGTACAACATCAGCGATCCTTATGGATTCTTTATCCAAAATATCCTCCACTGTTCAGATGGTTCAACTTATAACTATTCTCCACTGGTTTTCACAGGTTATAAGTCTTTCTAGGCAGAGAGTAACCATCTTTCTCCCCAGGAACAGCTAGTGGATTAGAACCATTCACTTTTTGATTACTAACCTGATATTACCTATTGTGTCAACAGGTCTTTTGTACTGATTCTTAGATAGTTGTAAATACAAGTATAACGCATGCCTCTAAATTAAGCTCAGATTCAATTTTTTAGCATAAAAATGTCACAGCTCCAGGAGATTCAGAGATAGATCAAAGTATTAATCCTCTATTTATAATAGACTTGGTAAAACATAGTATATTCAGCTTGATTTCAACTTTCAACCTATGTGGTTTTAGATTGCTTTACTAGTGAGATGGATTTCTCAAAACGTAAACAATGTGCACGATCCAATTTTTAATTAGTGAAATAGGGACTATGGGCTCGAAATTTCTCCTAACACTGAGTAATTTTTAAAAAGAAAATGGAGGGAGAAATTTCTATTCCTCTTGAAATTTATATCAATGACAGAAAATATAGATGGTAACAAAACTCAATTATATAACAATGAGCTCCGATTTTATTACTACTTTTGTGTGTGTTCATTGTGTAGATTTTACTCCATTCTTTGAATCAACTGTAAATAACAAGCCGAATCATGAAGCTGGGCAGAGAATGCCTTACAGAGAATTTACAAAAATGACAAATTCCTTTTGTTATAATACCTGAAAATAACCTTTGATAAATGTGTGCCAAAATCTAGTATATTTCTCTCCAGTTTAGATGAAAACGACTAATTCTGTGAAAGTGGAAAATACCATTACTGTATATGGCAAATGTCATGAGACCATACATTTAGAAAACAGAATTTGATAATGGGTGTTCTATCACATTAGCTTGAGAAAATAGTATTTTCCACTTTCTCTGGCCTTTCACAGTTTTAATCCATAGACATTCCTTTATGAGTTCTAAGCAGCTGTGGTTTAGTTTAACTATAGCATGACGTTTATTGGAAGTTTTAGCCCAGTAATAGATCAACATATGCATTTAGGAATTACTCTTGTTTTCCTGTACTGCTTACCATTTACTTGGGGATATATACCCTGTGTCATCATAGAGAGTCTTCAGCTTTCTATCACTGCTGAAAAAACTTGACATCAAATTTAATTTTATGGCCTTTTGATGAGTTGACTAAAATCCAAGTTTGTTTCTTTTCCTTCCCAATCTCCATACCTATTCAATCTGAATGCTGATAAAATCATTGGAGAAGCTGGATTATGTGAAGTAGAATGAGGCACCAGGATTTAAGGAAGACCAGCAACACACAGCATTATACAGATGACATAATTGTGTTTGTTGAAAGTGGAGAGGATTTGAAGAACTTGCTACAGAAGATCAAAGATTATAGCCTTCAATATGGATTGCATCTCAACATCAACACAAAAAAATCTTTACCACTGGGCCGACGGACAACATCAATACAGATGGATGAAAGATTGGAAATATCAATTATTTCATTTTGCTTGAATCCACAATCAGTATCCTTGGTATTAATAGTCAGGAAATCAAATGGCATGCTGCACTGGGGAAATCTGCTGTCAAGGACCTCTCCAAAATGCTAAAGCTCACTAATGTCAATTCAAAGATTAACGTGAACCTGATACAAACAATGAATTTTTTAATTACTTACTACGTATCTTATCTGCGGTGGCTGCGGCCCTCAAGCCTCACTTCCACCCAAGACCACGCTTGTCAGAGCTTCCAAGGGCTTGCTCCCGCCGGAAATCCCGGGTACCTGTGAAAATGGATGACGAAGAAATTGTGAGTGTTCACATCTTCACTTTGCTCGGCTCCACAGTCAACACTCTTGGCACCAGCAGTCAGGAAATCAAAAAGCGTATCACGATGGGAAAGTCT